CCCCAAAACCCCAAAACCCCAAAACCCCTTAAGCTAATAATCTTACAATAATGAGGTTTATAAAAATACAAAGAAAAAATGTTGAATTTAATTAAATTAATCAGGTTAATATATAATTTCACAGTAGTCCTCTTTAATTTATATCTATAACTCCATTAACTCAATGAATCGTTAACTTCTTATCACTCATAATATTATTATTTACAGTATTCGGAGTATTGCCAGAGAAGGACTATTTTTATATTATTGGTTTGGATAAAGTTCAACGGCCTTTCAGCTTCATTCGATAAAAAATTTGATTGTTTCTTGATTTACTTTTCCTTTTTCTCAATCGGTGGGAGCAGAAAAGCTGTTATCCATTAGCATTCGCTAAAATTGCATCGTCTATTCATTTCCTGAGTTTCCAGAATAGTGAGCTGTTAGTTTTTAGATGGTGTCATTTTCATAAGAGTTGTTAAGTCCATTCTCTGGTTTCATTAAATCACCCTCTGTATCCAATATTTGAATATCTTGCAGAATGACTTATGTATTTTCTCTTAGTCTTTGCTATGATTCATATTTGTCAAAAGTTACCAAAGTCCAAACAATGGATTTAGAGATAATGAATATGACTAGCAGTTCTGATATGTAGGAGAATACGCTGGTCAATACGAGCCATAAAGAAAATATTTTAGATGAAAGATTGATTTCTTACATCAGAATAACCATTTAAGCTACATTTAATGGGATACCTTTGACTAATATCGCTGCGATCAAGTATTTGAAGAATCTTTTCATCCTTGTCTTATTCTTTTTATGATCTTTCAAATCTTAATCATTCATGAATTACTTGCTCTAAATGTACTAATTCTTGAAATCCCCGTGTAGGTATATCATTGAATATGCTAGGGCTAATGTAATGCCAACATACATTAAAAGGATCCCAAGAAGAATTATAAATTTTTCTTCTTTTGTCATTTTGCCAAACAGGTATTTGCCGACTGTTATTTGCAATATATCGTAGAAATAATATATAGTGTTGATGGTAAAGCAAATTAGTAGAAGCCCGAGTAATAGCTTTGGCACTATGCTTTTATTTGATTTCATTACTATTGTTATCCATCTTATAGCGTTAACTATCATTGCATAATTCATGAAATTCTGGGCTTAATTATCAGATTCTGCATACACCAACAGTATTTTACTTTAGTAAGGATTCTACTATGATTACAAGCTGTCAACTATCGTGTATCCATGTGAATTAAAGTAGATCATAGGTATAATGCACAGAAATATTCTAGATATAAAGGCCAGCAATATAAAAATGAAGCACAGGATATTGGCAACGTCTTTAACCTTCTTGAATACCCCACAGTATCTAATAAAGAAGTTCAGATAGAAGCCAAGTGCTAAACTGTAAACGAAGACAGTTAAGTAATTTATTACGTCGAAAAATACATAATAACCTGCCATTAAATTTTTTCCAAAATTATAATAATTTATTTATAAACATGTTTGAGAGATTATTGTGCCATTTCGGGGTTTTGGGGTTTTGGGGTTTTGGGG